TACCGGGTTTAGTTGGGCCCTTTTTGCCGTTTTGTGGCGACCTCATCGATTCTCCAAAACCATTATCAGTCTTAGTCGCAGGGTAACGATTTGGCCAAGACGGAGATGGTCGTTGCCCCCAGAATGGCCACCCGTATTCCTCGTCGGGAAATGACCAATCAATGTTTCCAAATCCATTCGGCAAATCATTCGTATTTTTATCGTACTGATGAACACTAGTTTCCCAGTTCTCTTTTATGATGCACTCTCGGTATGTTGTCTTCAAAGTTTTGTCAGTTGCCAAATCAATTTCGCTTTTCCCATTGCTCGAATCAATTTCATCCACATAGTGACATTCCTAAACAAGAAATTTTTCCGTGAACATCAACTGAGATCGATTTGACATTCAAAAAACTTCAGCTGTTATGCATTAAAAGCGCGTAAAATTGGATAATATCTTAATTTGATAATACACTCATCAGAGTGTACTATGTGAAAACAGAAATTTTCGATTTGGTTAAGTCGTGATTACAAGAAAAAGCTGAGGTCATTATGCACTTTCAGTGTATTTTTCTCATGCATGGGAACCGGTTGAAAAGGGCTTAATAAATATTCCTTGACATGATTCCTTATGCCTGATCAACAAAGAATTTCACACCGCAACACATCACTTACCCCTTTATCGCCTGCTTTAAGACAACCATGATAAATTTTGAGTACAGGTTCAATGCCATCAGATTTGCTAAAATATCCATTCTGTGACTGTGTTGCATCAGCTGGAAATAAATATAAACATAACGATGAGTATCGAAACGACTGAAAGCTATGCTCATCATTGTCTACCCTTAAAAATTGTTCTATGCCTGAAAAAGTTTTGCTACTTCAAGTTTTTATACCCTGTAGAAGAATTTAGCTCACACGCCACACGTAAACTTTGATACCTCTGACATTTAAATTGCTTTTTGCGGTTAGCACATTGCGTTATTCAACGAGTTTTGAAAACATCGCCGAATAGTTAAAAGTTGAGAATATAAGCGATGGTTCCATTCAAATAACTCTTGAGTTCACTGAATTTTAAGATTGTTCGTTTCCGTTGAGCGCTCACAAATCAAATTCTTAATCTCTGTTGGAATGTCTATGATGATCTCGTTTCCAGCCATTTCTCATTCTTTTTCATATGTTCACTTCTTTTTCATCATCTGCTCTTTTTCATTCAGTGCTAAATGCACCTGCAACTGCCGTTTACAGTGCAGATCAGCATTAGATCGAACGCACTAATATGGTCTTATGACTACATTGCACACCGAACTCACTGCTGCTTCTTTCCATTCTCGGAATGAGTTTCATATCACAGAAAAATGATTCACACGGAACTTGCGCAATTCCTATAAAAACGATTCATTTCGTTAGCCATAATTTTGTTTCCCAGTGAAAAATTGTAGTCCCTATTGTTTAAGAAGCACGGAACTTTCATCATTCGACAAACAACGCTGCTCGCTGAAAGTATCGAATGCAAATCTGAGTATTGTGAGAGACATAACTATTAAAGTCGCGTTAATGCAAAGATGAGACTATGGATTTCGTCGCAAATAAACTGAACCTTTTCCAGACAATTTCACTTCAACATCGACACGACGTCCATTGCAGAGGAATACGGGCCGAATGTTCGGATTGGATATCACACGACACTGCACGCATGATATTACCGTAAGAATCAAGCTTGCAAGATCAACTCTCATCTCTTCAGTGCTGTAAACAGTCGATACTTTTTAAGAGGCAATCAGCTGTCAATGAGCAATATCACTGAGCGATATCCCATAATTGAACAATCATTTAACATAACGGAGTTACTTCTTAGTTGATCAACGATAGCATGGTGTAATGACTGACATAATAGACATTGATTAATACAATTTTGTTACTCCCCGCATTGTTGAATAGCAATGAGCATGGTTCGCTGAAGATATTTTCGGTGAGGCTAGCTTCTGAAAGTGAACACTCACTGCTCTATCAATAGTGATCTCTCAATTGATCAACTGTCTTCGGACATCTTAAGGACTTAGAATGACGAAAATATCACGACTCAAGTCTCAACTTTTTCCGCAGCAAACAAATACCAATTCACAAAACCGCTGATATATGTTGGTGAGCATAACGAATGAACGATACATATAAGATTGGATGCTTTTAGAACATCTACTACAAATGCTTCTGGTTACAGAAACTGAATACTGAAACCTTTGATTCGCTAGAACATTCAAACTAGTTATGGACTCATATACATTTCTGCTTGTGAGGTAAAATCAAACGTGAAGAGTTCATTTTCGATCCGATACAATTTTTTGATTCGATATAATCTTTGATCTGATACAATTGTTGATACGATACATGGTCTTTCAAATCGAGCAATTCCAACAATTGTACTCAAAAACGACGTTTTCGATTAGTTAGTTATTAAATTAAATTAGCAAAACGATTAAATTAAGTCAGTTCATTAGCAGCATTTATGAGTCTCATACGACCAACGAGTCTCATACGACCAACGATGTGATCATTCTGTTGCAATCTTCATACCTTCACACAGACGAGCTTCACAGTACGAATGCTTAAGAGTGATATCTGGAACAGTGATACGTCAGAATCATCACATGATAATATGCAAAGCAAAATGCAACCAATTCTCAATCATGACCGTTAATGGGACTGATCTGACTGTACTTCACTTGTGGCATGCATGTTTATATCGTTTATTTTCAAAATGAACGACAAACAAGAAACCGATTTTTGCATTGCATAACTCGCTGATGATTCGGCGTATTTCATCACTAATCGAAAATGAATGAATATGCCTGGGTTATTGTTATGCATTATTTTTGGACATTCAGCTGTGAGAAATTTTTGATTTCGAATTCAATGAATTGCTCTGCACGAGAATTTTCGATTTCGAACAATTCGTTGACTTATTCATGAAAGAATGAATTTTTTGCCATTGTTGCATGAGCTCAAAAAATTTCTTCCACATATTGTTTTCGTGAGAAGAGTTTTCGTTTTGATGAATTAAAATGTTTCAAAAAGATTTTTTTTCGCATTCAGAGCTTTGGCAATTACTCATCAACTGTTATCGTTCACAATGACTTGGGACTTTTATCATCTAACAGAGACTGTCTGTGCCACTTCCAAGAAAATTTTATTTTTCAATTTTTGCTTCAGCTGTAAGAAATTTTCACCTAGAAAGTACCAGTATCTCTCAGTGATTGTTCAATTGTACCTGCTGTGTTGATGCTAAACAAGAGTGTGTTTTCTCGGACTAGTTAATTTAAAATTTGAAAATAACAAACGCATAATTAATTAAGCACTTGGGGAAGCGTACAAGTGATTTGCGATGGACGTTCAAATGCGATGCATGAACATACGAACAAAATTGATGACAAGAACACACTCAGTTTGCCAGTTTGTTTTCTTCTCGAATTCACATGAACAATGTTTTAGGTGATGAATGGAATGCGTTTACGGAACGGCTGTTTTGGATTGAGCGATTTGGCATAGAGTCATAATGAGAGTGCAAAACGAGGTGAAAAAAATCAACTTTAATTGTGTGAGTAAACGGTGAAAGTAGATCGTTATTTTAATAGAACGGAATACAACACGAACAAAACTTATTTCAGCAGTATCAACTATTCAAAACTATTCACGCTAACTTGTTCAAATCATTGGCTTACACATCGAGATATTGCACAATCAATGACTTAAATCCACCATTCTGGCGTTCTAAAAAAGTCGATCTCCAGGAACAACGTCAGTTCGTTGAACGCTTCCAAAATACATTTCGTTTGAGCCTGATCTAGGCGAAATTTGCGAGAACCGTTTTGTTTTCTCGCAAAAAAATTCCTTCGAAGTTGGTCGTATTTTCACAGTTAGCTGACGATAGACCGAACAGTAACAGTTCTCGATTGGCTCGAAATCGGTGTGCAATTTAGAATTGCGACCAGTATTCTTTTGACATCATACCGCAGAATCGAGCTCAAGAACAGGCGGCAAACTACCGACAAGATCGCTCCAGTCAAGAAGAAGAACATCACCGAAAAGTCGTTTATCTTCCCTTGAAATGTCACTATGTTGATGAAAATTTGACCTGAAAACTCACTCATTCATCATCAACGTTTTTCGGTTACCATTTCTCTAGAAACTACGTATTTGCGGCAATGTAGCGCATTATGTCAGTGTAATCAACGTGAGAAGAATAATTGCTGAATGATTTCGACAAGGATGGCTTCATTCTTCCCAGAAGAACATTATGTTTTGGCATGTTTTTGCAATTTCCGATTAACTGTTCAGAATTACAACGACCGAACCTCTTAATCGCATAGAAGTGCTGGTTTATAAGACTGAACGAAAGTCACGTACCTATCATTCTGACTGACCATGAGATGAAGCACGAAGCTAATAAACTCCTCTCAATGGCTTTTCGAGCCTGATTTGATGGATGCACCGAGAATCGCACTGTTTCTTGCGTTGTATTCGCAGCACTTGAACGCTTTATCTGCATTACATACGACTGAAACTGATCAAGATCAGCGCTCACTACATTCACTATAATACTACAAAATGAAATTCCAGTTCAACAGCTCCGATGATATTTCACTTGCCAATTTATTAACTCACCAGTTGAAAAAACAATGACTAACGAAATATCAATGACTAGCAATGAAGCATTTATCAAGTCAAGTCCATGAGATATTNCTGAAAATACTGACAAACGATGCTAACAGCAACATGTGCGTATTGCTAACCACAACTCCCGCGTGAACCTTCTCTGTTGTGATGAGTTTGAAGAGAATGATCGCATAGACTAAGAGTTCAGAGAACATGATTGATGCGTTGAATATCAAAAAATATATCTGTGTTCCGCTTTCTGCATATTTTTCCCAATCACCCGTAAAGCCATAGCCATCATAATTGAAATAGAGCACAACATACCTGAATATTTGCCACTTAAGAATTACGATTTGAAATTGAACTTATTGAACAAACTCACTCTAACAGTTATGTTTTTCACTGAATTGTCGTCGACCCAACTGAATCATGCAGTGATTCTGGACTGATCACTGGACCTTTAGGGAACATTTTTACTTGTTCACCTTGACATTTCAAACGAAAGCAATTAAGTGAGAAACGCGTTAATGCAATTATTAAATCCTAGATTTTGATGAGAAACAATACCGAGCAATCAGCACTGTTTTATCAAGCAGCAATTAACTGAATCGAATCGTTCCCGGGAGAAGCTAATTCGAAAGTAATTACCCCCTCTGACTATATTCAAACATTAACTCGCTTCACAATGATCATAGTTTACGACATTTATTATGAAGCAAACTCATTTTCATATTACTAAAATAATTAACTCCAACGTCATAGTCCATAATTCATCGCTAGCTGATTTTTTGCCCCTATTTCTTCGAAAACATTTACAATTTACGTTTACAGTTTATGCGAGTACATTTCGTACTATGCGAGTACATTCCGATAATTGGCATGCTGGTTTTCAGCATGCTGGTCTTTAGCATGGTGGTTTTTAACATGCTGCCAGATAAGCATAAGAACATGACATGGAAACATGTTTTGCTGTAGTCTAATGACCTTGATTATGGCTACTTCATCGCTTAACAATAAGAATGCACTTACCATGGAAATTGACTGACAACATAAGTTTGCACAAAAGCAATAATCCATACCAGTGAACAAACTAAATTCGCATTCCGTCGTTTAATACACCAGTCGAATACCTTCGATGTATAAAAGCATAACATTCTTGTGATAATAACCAAAAGGCTTAAGTAACTACTTGACCACCTTAAATTTTCTTTTTTCTATTAAAAGGAGCAACTATTTTTGAATACAAATCATTCTGATAAAGCAGTTGAATATAATGAGGATTCATCTACATGTATTACGGTGGCAGTGATCATATTAATATTATTGATGGTAGCAGAGGTATTATAAATAATGATAACAGTCAAGGATGTGGCTGGGATTGTTTCCATCGAAGTAGAGACCTAAAGGAGATCTGAGCCTAAAATATCCGAATGGATTCTTCTGCGTCTTTTGGCCCTTCTCGTGTTTTCCTCTCTCTTTTTCCCTCTCTTGTTTCACCCTCCGAATAGGAGAGGACGAGTACCGATAAC